TAATTCCTGGACTTACTTTTTTCTGGTTGTCCTCATGTTTGAAGGCTTCATTCTGACTAATTTGGACTGACTTGGGTCGTACATCAAGATTTGGTAGATGAGTATCCCAGCGAAGATTTTATGTATACACAATGACTCAAACATGATACATTGCTTAAGTAATATCAACTTGCTTACCACTTGAACCAATCCGTTGATAAGTCTTAACCTTATTTTGTTCTCAAATTTAAGCAGGTTGGAATGGTCTCAATGATTACTTAGTATGCTTATAATGGAAGAAACAATGATATATTACATATTTCTTATTATTAATATCAACTATTAAATTTAATTAATTGACATCAAAAAAATGTAGAATTGTATACTATATCAATGGATTCTACCTATATAGAGTCGTAGACAATTTAACATATGGTGAAATATGTAACGTGGCAACCCTGCTGCCATTGCTTTTCTTTTCTTTTTTCTGCCTTTCTTTCCATGGAAAATGGTCGGTTAAATTCCAGCATCTTTCTTAAGTTTCATTTCTTTTTCTTTTTTTTCTCAAGTGGATGAACTTCATCAACACGGTTTGTTCTAAAAAGCAAAAATATTTTCATCTTTCAATATACAAGCAGCGAGTTTGGTTGAGCCCAGCACCAAAAGCTTCGAGGTGCTGCATTAATTGGTACACTCAAACGTTTGATACTTTTGTAAGCTTCATGATCTTTCTATGTTCGTGATAGATCTGCTTCACATCCTTATCTTTTCTTAGCTTTGTCTTATCCACTGAGCTTTAGTTTCTATATGATAAAAAGGATATGAAAATTAGGGTTATACATACACGCAGTGATATAAGTTAGTAGCTAGTTACTGAAATCTAATTCTCCTACTCCTGATTCTACTCTATGAATTTTGTTTTTCTTTTGAGGAACAGTTGGGATCTTCTTTTCTATTTATGGATCTACTTCCTGTCTTTTTCTTTTCTTTTTTCTGATATTTTCTTTGATGATGCAATTCAGATGATATGGAGCTGAAAGGATTAACTCAACTGGGATCCACCTGCCTTATGGTTCAACAATGAGAGACCTAAGATGAATGCAAGTTCAAAGGAAGCAGATTCTTCTTCCCCTAGACAACAAAGCGACACAAATGATGCCAAGTTGAGCGCCAAAGGCCAATGTAGCTCCTCCCCATGGTTAGGATTGAAGGATCCACGAGTCGTACGCGTTTCGCGTGCCTTTGGGGGAAAGGACAGACACAGTAAAGTGTGCACCATTAGAGGATTGAGAGACCGAAGGGTGAGGCTTTCGGTTCCCACAGCTATTCAATTGTATGATCTTCAAGACAGACTCGGACTTAATCAGCCAAGCAAGGCAGTCGATTGGTTGCTGGATGCAGCTAAACATGAAATCGATGAACTCCCTCCACTCCCATTGCCTCCACCAGGGAACTTTCCCTTTAACCATCAAATGGAAGCAGCTGGTGCTTCCCGATCCAACAAACAAGGGCTCAAAACCAGTAGCAGTGTTGATTTGGAAGATCCTGCAGGTGAGTTAACAAGTTCCAGCTTTTGGAACTCTGATGCTTCCTGGAGGGCTAAACGCAAAGAAGTTTCAAGGGAAACGACCAATGAGAAAGCTGATTGGAACAAAAGAAATGAAGAGGAAAAGCAACAACAAGGCATGTTAAGCAATGCAGTTTCGTATGGCTCTTACTATCACTTTGAACCTCCAAGTTTTCCTTCATCACATTTAGGTACACATGGATTTGCTTCTTCCCACACAGAAGATCTACATAATTTTAATGTTGATCCATTACAATTGCCATCCACGTTGTCTCTATCATCTGGTTCTCGAATGCTTGATCCTAGACAGCAAGTTAACCATTTCCAAATGCTTAACTCGGCTGCTCAGACCATCTTGCCCAGTTCTCTTAACCCTCCACCACCATACTCAATAAGCCAATCTATCAGGCCCTTCCATTTGAGCATTAACAGCAACGGAGGTCGACCTGATAAGGAACAGGAGTTTCCTTCTAAATGACAAGGAAGCAGTAATGATCATCAAGGAGGGATGATGAGAAAGAAAGGTACTGTTTGAATCCATTTGCATACATGATTTAAAGGCATCTCTTCTTGTAAGTTATAGTTATGGGGGATAACAATCAAGTTTTTTGTGTTTTGATTTCATTGTTTGCGCTTCATTGGTGATCGGAAAAAACAGATCTTCATATATAGATTTGAATCCCATACTGCTGAAATTATTATAATCAATATTTGATGCTTATCAATAGTTTGATGGTATATATACACATATTCTTACCTTTTTTTGTTGTTGTTGGAAATATGATCTCCATAATGTCTTACATTGCTAGAGTAATATCAAGAAAATGCACGCTCTCTCTAGAATAGTCGAAGATAACACTAAAACTTTACGTGAAAACCCCAAAATATAACACTATATACATTATCAAGCAAACTAGATGAAGGGATTTGAGGCACTAGACGTGTCAAGCTCACACAAGATCCACCAGGATAATGTCATGATGAAAGAAATGTCAGGTTGGGGAAAATAGGGTGAAAAAGGACTTCAATTCGAAAATTTCATGAAGCGTGCATACACGGTTTTGTGGTCCTTAACACGGGGAGAGGGGGAAAGAGAGATGCATTGAAGGAGAGAAAAAAAAAAAGATGTTCAAGTGTTTTTCAGAAGTAACTTATTATCTATGGTCCATTTTTGGAAGAGAAATGAAAAGTAAAAGAGCCCCACAATCTTGATATGGAATTATCGGTCCATCTGATCTACCATAATGCCCAGTTTCCCCCACATCTGCCAAAACTGTTATTTTGGAAGACCAGCCTCCACTTGCCAGTACAGCTGCTGCTTGCATAGCTTTCTAGGGTTTTGTACAGTGATTGCAAGTTCAAGCAAATTTGTATGAACTATATGTGTGTGTATATATATATATATATATATATGATGCATCTATATTCCCAAAGGTTAACCACTTATCAAATCATGTAGGGATGTAAGCAGGGACGGATGTAGGAATTTGTGTCAGGAGTACGAACATAAAATGTTATATTAAAATCTTAAGTGTGCGAAATTATAAAATCTCAGAGGTGCAAAATTAAATAATTCATATGAAATACAAAGAAAATATTTAAAATACAAAAGAATTTTAATTTTTAGGGGTGCAGTCGGTCCATCCCTGGATGTAAGATTTAATGTTAGAGAGAGAAATTTTAAAATTTTAAGAGTATACGAGCGTATAAAATTAACAAAAATAAATTATCAATAAAAAATAAAAATATATCTAAAATATATAATAATTTGATATTTTTAGAGATACACTGTCCGAACGCACCCATAAATCCATCTCTATATTAAACAATTTAAGCATCTGTATTTATTTGTTTTTTATTAATGATGCATATAAACCCTTCTACTCTCTTTTTTTATTGGAATAGTTTCCCCATCTCTTAACAAAAGTCCAACAGAGCAAGCTACTGAAAATATTGATTAAATATTTTTATAATTAAAAAGTATTATTTGTAATATATAACTCTTTTAAAGTATTAAATCTGTGTTTTTCATGTTTGGGTTATTGATTAATGATTTCTACCATCGGAAACAGATGGTTTCACAGGAGAAGGGACGTAATAACGTTCGGCGAAGGGCAATTAATGCAGATTTCTGAGAAGGGCTTTACAGGTTTGGATCAGTTATACAGAAATAGGCCTTGAGACTATACAGGCCTACCTAACTTAATAAATAAACACCGGGAAAAAATAGGAATTTTCTAAATTCAATGCATACAGTTACATTAGTCTATATTCTCTTTAGGAGGGATAATTGAGTTAAGAAGCTTGGAAGTAGTAGGACTTGATCCGATTAAAACTTAAATAATATTAATTTGAGTTTACTCGATTCAAATTGAAGCTTCATTCAAGACTTTAATTAATCGAATTGAACAAAGTTTCTCGATTTGATAAATTTGTGAATAACAATAATTTTTTATATTCATTTTAGGATTAATTACCTTACTTTTAAGATTGATTATGTATTGAAACAATTTTATTCCTATAATTGTTGTAATATGTTACTTTTTTTTGGATAATTAGATTTGTTATTACCCAAGACAGCTGAAAAATGCTACAAAAACCAGTCCAGACAAAGGAAACAGAAGCAGGGGTAACCTATATACAACAGAATCAAGTTATACCCCAATTGATACAAATATCTAAATTAGAGTTATCTAATCTATTGATGTTCTTGTTGCTTAAATGAGACCCTACAATCTGTTTGATTGATAGAATAATATCTTCCTCGGTTCTGTAAGTGTCTCGATAAAGTCTTCGATTCCTTTCCTCCCATATAGTGTAGTTGAATGCACACCAAGAAAGCTTGAGGATGTTAGTAATTAGAGAATTTCCTTTCCAAGTCGCAGTTGCCCAAACCAGTAAATTAGGCCAAGTGAAAGGGGTTTTGTAGATGCCAGAGAGAAGAAGAATAGAGTTCCAAATTGAAGCAGCCAAATTGCATTCTGCAAATAGATGATTTCTGGTTTCGCGGCCTTCAGAACATAGAGTACACTGGTCGTTAGTAGCTAGTCCGAACCTTTGTAATCTGTCTTTGGTGGGTAGACGATCCAGAATCACCATCCAAGAAATAATGCTGTGCTTAGGAATATGAATAGGGTACCAAATCAGTTTCTGCCAATGAACTATGTTGTTCTTCTGTCTAACCTGTTCCCAAATGTCATTAGTGCTCGTAACTCCTGTAGAAAAGCAGTGGTTGAGCAATTCTTCGAAGCTTCATTAATTTCCTGAAACTCCAGCTAAAAGTAGGGTATTCTTCCATGAACCAGAAATTATGTTGCTTGAGTGTATTTCTGATCTGTTACTTTTAAGATGCCAATTTAGTTGTATTCCGTTGACTTCTTAATTTACAAGGTGTCATCAAGGTTAGGTTCATACGAAGTTGTTATGCAGCTATAGCCTATAGGAACAAAAGAGATTAGGAAAGAAGAAAAAAGAGAAGAAATTTTGAGGTACATTATAATCCTATCTGGTGTTTCCCCTTCACCCCAAGTCCCCAAGAATTACAAAAAACATAATCCCAAGTCCTAGTTCAACAACAGTCGTCTATAATGTCCACCAGGGTGCACTCGTGTGTTTGGTCCTTCACCACTGATAATTTCACATATTAAGTCTTTGAAGATCAACCTCTCCACATCTAGACCCACACATGGAATTTCAATTCTGCATTCGGTCCACTCCATTGATCCTGTTAATTCTCCCCATAAGATGATTTTCAGAGTGTTATCATCATCTTCCAAGCTTATATTTGGTGCAGTTTGTATTTTGTCTAGTTCTGAACATAAGTCTCTCACAAGCTGCTGTCTTTTCGGTGTTCCCTCGTCTGCTGGGGAGTGCCACTGGTTGTAAGAGCCTTCCTTCACAAATTTTCTGAGTAGGATTTCGTCAACTGCATCGAATATAAGCTTCCTGTGGTTCTTCTCAATGAGCTCGGATTCTTTGACCTTTCTGCCAATGTGCTTTCCCTCTACAAGCCTAATGCTTGCCTTGGTTTTTTCTAGGGAAACAAACAATTTGGGATTGATCAGATGATCCAGCGGATGACGGCAGTAGGCCATGAAGCTGGAGTCCGGTTCGTCGAGGAGACCTGATGCCAATAGTACTTCTACAATGTATTTATTGTCTGCATTTGGACTGTTGCAAACAGGTGCAATTTCATTGATAGTTGACCACTCACGGATAGAACCCAAGTTCACAACTTTCTGAACCAAGTGCTGGATGTTTTCTTCTTTCGGGTAATCCGTAGTGAATCTGAGACAGGTAGGACTCCAGTCTTCTTCATCAGGGATAAGACCCTCATCATCTATCATAAAAAAAAAGTGATAATAGACTTGTAACAAATAGCTAGTGGCTTCCTTTAATAGGTATACAAAATTCTTAAGTTGGGTATGCTATGCTTTATATATCTTGTGATAATGATTGAGTCACAAGGGTTATATAGGAGCTTCACCTTTAAAAACATATGTTCTTTTCTTCACAGGAGACGGTGTTTCGCCTCCATAAAATGTGGCATCTAAAATGGAGACCGGACTAGGTTGTTCCGGCACAGTTCTTGGAGGTTCGGCTGCTGAATCACCTTTGCTAGATCTTGCTGTTGTATTCTGAATGATAGAAATATAAGCTGTTTAGGGATGATCCAATTACTAATATGAATGAAAAGGAAGGAAGAAGACGTACAATCTGCCTATTTTCGTGTTTTTGGGATCTGTCAGCACTTGTGACGTCAATGTTACCATAGGAGGCTGCACTCATATTGCTCTCAGATCTCATTGAACTAGCATCTCCCTGCTGACTCCGATCTCTCATATCACTACCGATATCACTTGATTGGTCATCACTTCTCTGCAAATTGTGAGATTTATGCCTCGGTTTTCGATGTGGGAAGCCTGGTTCTGATTGTAGCCTGCTTGATTGCCTTCTGCTTCTGCCCCTAGCCGATGCTGGACTGGTGCAATGAGACTGCCTTCCCGATTCAAGCCTCTTCTTCTGCAGTTTAAGGCGTGAGGTTTCTGAAGTCATTGCCAGTTTAGGATTTTCTTGAGCAGTAGGAAACGGCTCTTTTGAAGTTTGGTTGAATTTTGGAGTTCTGGCAGTGCCCTTATCCATCAAGTGGAGTCGAATAGAAGGCTCCCTAGGATAATTAGGCCTTGGAGTCAAATCCTTATATGATCGCTTGTCGACCGCTCTGTTATCTGCGGGGCTGATCAAACGAAGCTTTCTTAACCTACGTACCGGTGAAGTACAATTGCTGGCATTTTCCATAATTTTGTCTGGTTTTACTACGGTGCTAGGGGATCTAAGGCGTGTTGGAGAACTAGTTCCCTTAACTGTTGCTGAAACTGCATTGCTACTTTGTAGCTTTCTCAAATTTGGTGCTTCCGAGCACACACCAACGATGCTGTTTGTATGAGATACAAAATTTGAAGCTTGGCCTTCTTCTCTGGTCTCTAATATCTGTTTATGCTTCTGCATTGCTCTGAGATCCTTTCCCGACTTTTTGAATTCGAGTTCTGCCAAGCTTTTCTCGATTTCTCTGAAAACAGTTAGAGATGAGTTTGTGGCTTTCATCGGAGTTTCTCTATGCTTCGAAACAGACGTTTGACCCTTGCTTCCATCCTGCTGCTTCCATGGTGCTGGTTCAATTGGACATTTAGATGCAGCCAGTTTCTTTGAGGTCGTATTAGTCAAATGGGGTGAGCTTGGTTCTGTTTTCGAACTTCTCGGCGAACCGGAAATCCAATTCTTCCTGTTCTCGTAAATTCTTGACGAGTATGAGACGGGATCATCTTTCAAGTCTTGACTAGTATTGATCGGTCGACTTTGATTCGCACTGGTTAGCATGGGGCTTGGAAATGCTTCCAACCCCATTAACTTGGCTACGATACTAGACTGTCCATGGCAGCTTCTAGGTTCTTTCCTGCTATCTAATGATAACCTCGGGAGATCTTGAAGCTTATTGTTAAGTGCATCCCTCTCATCGTACGAGAACCGACGAGCATCTCTCTGTGTGCATTCGTAGGACATCGCAGGAACATCTTGAAGCTTAGGAAGAACAGGACTCGATTCATCAACATTGATGTTCCTGGTCTTTGCAGGTTTTGGTGGCTGCAAAGGCCTCGGCGAATCGATGTGTGCATACTTCTGATGCTTCCCTGCTCCCAAATTGGTAGATGCTTTAATTGATAATCCATGGACCTCTCTGTTTATGGAATCTTTAACCACGTCACGGAGATCAACGGAGTGTAGACAATTGGCAATTTCCGGCCTTGCAGTCTCCAGGAAGGCGGTTTGGCTCATTGAAGATCGGTTGGTTTGTGATGCTTTGCTGCAGTCAGCAGATGAAAAGGTAGAAGAACAAGAGGAAGAGGAAGAGGTTCTTGGGGATTCAAAGGAGAATCTTTGTTTATCCTTCAATGTCTTCTTCATGTTATTCTCCTTGACCTTCAGCAAAGTAACCTCCATTAGCTTGAATTTAATTTCCTCAACAAATCTAAAAGGTGAAATTCAAGTGATAATTATTTCTTACTTGCATCTTTTCTGAAGCAATCGTGGGCTTTGCTCCTTGCTTGCTATTTTGACCTATAGTGACATTGAATGCCAACCATGGAAGGTTGCAGAAATGGCAAATACATAAATATTAAAGGGGAAAAAGTAACAATTGAAACAACAAAAGTTAATTATTGCATTAAAAGAATGAAGCATGAGAATGAACCATAACAAGCTTTGAAACAAAATCAACTTCCCCAGAATTGAAACAAGTTAATTTTTCTTGCAAACAATCGAAAAGAAATAAAAACTGAGGAGAAGAAGAAGAAGTACCTGGTGGTGGAAGCCTTTTAGCAAGGAAATGATGGCGGTCAAATAGCTGAAACAGTCCATTCATGCACCCAATTTGCTTCTGCAGATCTGGGTTTTCATCTGATAAAGAGTATACAAACTTTGCAGACATGTTCACTTTCTCTCCTCAACTTTCTCAGCTTCCAAACAATCTCTAGGGAGTTTCAATGTCTCTTTTTTATTACCCCCTAGGAACAAACGATAAAGAGGAACTCAAAATGTACATAAAATATATATATATACATATACATGTATAGTCAGAAACCATGAAATGCTGTTTTGCAATAGAGGGAATTATATCCTAGATAGTCATCAAATGTCAGGATTTCTGAGATATGATGGCTGATGTTAACTCACTGAGATATTTCTTTGTATCGGTTTCTGGGAATTTTGCAGGATAAAATAACAGAGAAGAAAAAAAGGGACAGATTTAAAGATAAAAATAGAGATATAAGGAACCCCACATTCCTATTTTCTCCCACTGGGAATCAGTTTTCTAGGCTCAGAAAAAGCCAAAAGGAAAACCAAAAGAGAAAGTGAGCAAAGAAGATAGACCTCAATGATCTGATGCAACATGCAGACCCCAAGAAGAGATGTTGGTTTTGGGTTATAGTTTATAATATGTTATGTAACCAGCCATGACAGTGTGAAAATCTTTGGTTTTTTGACGAAGAATTAGAAGCTGTACTGCAACCATTAATGTAATCTGTCATGAAAGAAAAAGAAACAAATAATTGGGGGGGTGAAAAAGAGAGTTGAAGTTGGGGTTTGCGGGTCAGATGTGGTTTGGTAAAGAGAGAAATGGAGGTGTTCCATGTGGGATCCTCCTGCATGTGGAGTCTGTCAGAGATTACCAGCAAACTACAACTCATAATAACAAGAATTAGAAGAATAAAGCCTCTCTTTCTCCCAACCATTCCCTTCTTCAAACTTATCACTTTTCTTTGGATTTTGACCTAACAAGTTACTTATCACAACACTTGCCTCTTAATTAGGGATGCCAATGATGCATGACATCTTTTTTACTTGTTCATATTTGACTTCTTTTGTATATATATTAATTTGTTGATGGAAACATATTTTTTCATCACTCTTGATTATTAACTTTTTTTTTAATTTAAACGAAGAGTCGTGATGAAGGAAAGACAAATTATTAATTGATATATTTATTGTGATTTTTAGTGTATATGTCAATCGTAAAATTATTATGATAATATAAAAATTAATGTATCAAATAAATATGATTGTTAGATTTCGAATTGCCTTATAATAAGTCGTATGAATTTATCGGAGGTTTAATCTATATACTATAGTTGACTAAAAGATTTATGTCAGAAAAACGTGGATTTATCTGAAGTTTTGAAAAAAATATATATTAAAATTTTGATTACTGAAGAGCTACCAGCTCCTAAAAATGTAACAATATGTGTTTACACAATGTAAAGTCAGAGCCGACTCTAAGAGGAAGTACCCTGAGCAATTACTCTTCAATTTATCATATATTCTTTAACAATATGTATTTTCACAAAAAAATAATTATTTTTATGATTAATTTATGTAATATTGAATTAATTGTTTAAAGTAATAAAATATACTTTCATTTTATAAAGATATATTTTTAAGTTTTCACTAAAGAACTCGAAAATTTCTAAACCAACTCTGTGTAAAGTAATTATAATAGAATGCAACTATTAATTACATAAGTAGCGTAGCCAGATGACACAATGTTCTGACAAAATAGCATCGTTCTATCACTCTAATAAAAACATCCATATCAATTTATTACTAGTAAGATTCATGAAATTTCCCACTGAAATGCTGTAGTCAGTAGCTGCTAAAAATACGTCTTCTTATATGCATGTAATTTCATTGTTTTCGTACGTTCGACTGATCATAAACTGTGTTCTTAAAACATTGACATTAGATATTATTTTCAGACATTGTAAGCACTTAATCCTATCACAGTCGGATGACATTGCCTTTATCAAAGACGGAGCTAAGTGGAGACATGTGGGGATATGACCCCTTCAATTTTAGACCTTTAAAATTCTTTAAAAGAAATTGATTTGGTTCTCACAAAATTTAAAAAAAATCATATTAAGTTTTAAAAAAAACTCTAATGTTCTTAATTAAATTCTTCCCATGATTTTTAAAAATTCTTATTAACCCTCTCAAAATTTCAAAATTTTGAGTTAGACTCAGGGAAGAACGCATGATTTTACTTTAAGGGGCGAACTTGAACTTTTAAAACTCTAAGGGGTCAACTTGAACTTATAAAATTTCAGGAGAGACGAAAACAGATTTTCAATAGAAAATACATGAAAAAAATCTAAAATATATAGTAATTGAAAATTTCAGGGAGTGAGTGCCCCGACCCCCTCTATTCATCCCGGGTTAGACCCTAATTTTTTTTAAAAAAATAAAAATTATTCTTCAAAAATTTTGAAAATTTTAATTTTAACCTCTAATCTTTTTATAAAAAATAGCTTAATCCCTCTCAACTCTATCACCAAATTTCGGAGGGTTTCGTACCAACATTTCAAGTTGTAACCTTTGATGTGATTGCGAATTAACATCATCGTATGTATCTCTTATTAGGAAACAGAATTACAAAACTTTTACGAAGTCATCACAATCTTTCTACTTTATAGTTATGATGTGATTGTCCAAATCTAACTCTTTGCATATTTAATATATTAAAACAACCCTCGTATAAATCAATTAAGCTACTTAAAATAAACTAAACCATGAGTTAATAACGAGTATTTTTTTATTTAAAAAATGGAATTTGAATCTTTAATTAGTTTGTCCAAATAAACTCTGGATACATTAATAGGTATTATTAGCACAAGTTGAGTGGTTTTGGTTATAAAATAAAGTCAGATGTTGATGATGAAATGGAGAGGATAAGGAAAATGTACGCAAAATCACATGCATAAAGTTGGAGAATCACGTGAAGGATGATACCTGTACTTCATCAAGCAGGGACCAAATAATAATTAAAGTAAAATTTGATGTTTAATTCCATTAATTCAATCACTGATTTGAAGGGATAATACACGTTCTGGTATCTGCAATTTCCTATATCATCAAATTATGACCTTTGCATATGTAAAAATACATACCAACTATGCCATCTCTACTCTCAACGATGAATCCACACTTTATTTAGGGTGGCACATGTCCACTTTAAAATTTAAATTTTATTTGATTAATTATTTATTTTAGTGATTCATTTTAAAATTTTATTTCTATACGTACAAAAGAATTTATTACTGATATATATGTGTCCACTCCCAAAAGTAAGACTTTATTACTGATATATATGTGTCCACTCCCAAAAGTTTTTTTAGATCTACCGTTATTTTTCCTAAAATTAGGTTCTCAAAAACCCGGTTTATCTTATCAACTCAACCTTGATTGGCACATGAAGGTACCCACTAGGGATGGGATAGGTCGGGTTGGGTCGGATTTTTGGTCCACCCGACCTGAGCTGAGAACAATGAATCCTCCACCCGAGATCCGACCCAAGCCAGCCAAAACAAGATTTCACTCAACCCGATATATAACTTAAAAATCCGACCCAACCCTGAATAATAATAAAAACATTATTTTTATTCAATAAAAATAGTAACTTAATTGAAAAAATAATATATAGAGGGGTATTATTATAATTATTTCTAAATATATAAGATAAAATTATATATTTTTCGGGTTGGGTCGTGTATTTTTCACCATAAACCTAAATATCACATTTAAAAAATTCGACCCGAACCCGGATTTTTTTTTTTTAAAAAAACTCAACCCAATCAGGTCGAGCCGGAACCCGTCCGGATCGGGTTTTATTCCCATCCCTAGTACCCACTCAAAGCACCTTTAAGCTTTTAGAAATGATGGTGATAAAAAAAACTTTATAAATAATGTGAATCAATTTGGAATTTAGCAATTCCTTCTTCTATCTTAAAATTCAACCTCTTTTATGCATATGTAAATCAAGTAAGTCATCTAGACCGTGAAAGTGACTTGATTTTTATCAATCAAATCTTGACAGGGACATGAATGTACCCCACTCCAACACCCTTAAAGCCCAAATAATTTTGATGTAATTTGATTTACCTTAATTAAATAAGTTTGAATTTAAATTTATTTAATTTCAGGTTTAATGTGAATTTATGAAATAATTTGAGCCAAGAAAAGGAGGTCTGGAACGGTATGATGAAATTGAAATATAGGGAGGCAAATAACAAAATAGATATGGTCGTGGGATCGAGTCCTACTGAGGTCAATTCATACGGAGGTCTTCACGGAAACTGTTCTCAACCTGGCGTTGGGGGCAACCTACTACCCTACCTCCCCTTATCCCATTACATATGAGAATAGGGTCAGCTAATTATATTAAGGTAAAATTTGTTTAATTTTGAAGTTGACATGATCATAAGAAGTGTTTAAATAAAAGAAAGAGTAATATTTTATTTATTTAATTTCATAATTGACAAATATAAGAAGTATTTAAATTAAAAGGCGTAGGGAGTAAGAGTTTAATTTATTTGTTTTAAAATTGTTGAGTTTGTGATCCGAATTTATATTGTTCTAACTTAAAAAGTTTGTGATACGACTTAGTTAGTGAAGAAATAAAATAGAGAAATTAGGAATATATGATGAATGCGGAACCTCCGTACTTGGGAGCCCCTATAGTACAAACCTTACTACACTTCAAATTTGTATAATATATATATATATTGAGTTGATTAATAGTATTCGATCTATTGTTCGATTAATCTAGATCGGATATTGTAGAGGCGATGGCGATTCTCTCAATCCAATTTGTTCTATTTGCAAATGTCAAGGTTCGAACCTCTAACATTGTTTAAAGAATCTAATGTCTCATCTCACTAGACAACTGGTTGTTGGTATTTTTTTAATTAGTGTTCAAGTAGAAGTAGAAAAAATAATTTAAGAATATTTCTTACTGTACACGTTTCATCTATAATCCTATATATATTAATGTAATTTAAGGTTTTATTAGAGTGAATTTTTGTGCCAATTTTTTTTGAAAGAAGCAATTAATTTTATTCAATATATGGAATATCTCAAATTGCAATAAAGATTTATAATCACAATTGTAAATTAAGCATATAATTAGGAAAATTTCCAATAATTATTGAAACAAAACTAGCAACTTAAGATCACATAAGGATTATACAAGAAAAGATTAAATCTAACCAAGAAACTCGAACAAAGATAGATACAAACAGATTGGTCGAATCGACAAACGAACTACAAAAGGGGATCAAGTTATTGAAAGACCATCGACAA